TAGAAAATTGGAAATAATATGTAATTTAAAATGTGATAAAATATTTAGTATAATTTAGTGAAACCTTTGTCAAGAAAAAGAAAGCAATGAAATAAATGGGAGAATTGGAGTAGGAGAAGGGGGAACATTTTAACGAAACAATGATTTAAAATATGTGATGTGGGGGGGAAATAACTATGGAAAGCATAAGTGTTCCCATAAAGGCATGATATTTAATTGAAATGTGTAAAGTGTTTAAGATATAAATGAATATTAACATTAATGATTAGATTGTGTTATTCCAGTGAAATTTTTTGTGAAGAAAAAGAAGTCAATGAAATAAATGAGAGATTTGAAGAAGGAGAAGGGGGAACATTTTAATGAAATAATGATCTAAAATATGTGATGTGGGGGGGGGGGGAAATAACTATGGAAAATAGAAGTGTTCCCATAAAAAGTATGATATTTAACTGAAAAGTAATGTGTTAAGTGTTTAAGATATAAATGAATATTAATATTAATGAATAGATTTGTATTGGCATTGATAATAAAAATATTGTATAATTTTAGAATGTACCAAACAGAATCCCAATGTAAGCTATGTATTTTATATTAAGTATTATAAATGTAGGGGAAAGAGATAAAGGCGTCATACTCCAATTAGTGTACAAGAGAAGTTTTGTTTAAAGAAGAAAGATAAATGGATAGCAGGAAACAGAACAGACAAAGAATAATAAATATTATGATTTGAATTGAGATGAGATAAATAAAATAAAACTAAGACAATTTAAAAGAGATGAGAAGCTATACAGAAAATTGAAAATGGTAACAAGATATGGAATGGTATATAAAATGAATATGAATTTGAATTTGTGTCTGTATGAAGAGTTGTAACCCGGGACTAAGCAACTTTCAGAAAAGATGTTTTTTTATGTTTCTATGTTTTGTGTTTTTGTGTGTTTATGTTTGATTGAGCTAATAAAACCTTGGAGGAATGTTAGAAGAGGATGATTGAGAATAAAAGATAGAAGAGAATAAAGCAAGTCAGAGGAAAATATAAGTATAGTGAATAAAAACATGTAAAATAGATAAATATAGAAAAGAAATATAACTGAATAAAAGTAAAGGGAGAAATAATGAGAAACTTGAAAGGATATGTATGTGTTCATAAGGAGATGTGTCAATGGTGTATAAAATGTTTTATTTGTTTTGTTAAAATTTACAAATAATTTGCAGAAAAGAGGTTTTATGTTTTTATGTTTTATGTTTTGTATGTCTTTAAAAATTAATAAAACTTGTTTAAAAAAATAAATAAAAGGATCATAGTTCCCCACCTCTGTGTTACATGAACAACACAATTGGTCATATGCAAACATTTAGACAGATGGAGGTTACCTTCATGGACACACAAATATATATTACATGGCTTTCTTGTTCTTATACAAAAGAAGGAGTTGATTATATTAACCAGCAGTGCAACCTTCAAACCAAGCAAAACATCAATCATTTTTTAATATTCTTTCTTACCCTTGAAGATTCTTGTGGCCCAGCGAACTTGGAGCTCAGATATAGGCATAGTGGCTCCCATAGGTTTGATTAAGCCAATCACAGCTAATGTGTGCTTTTCCAAGTGTGGTGGGAAAACATATTTATATAGTGAGAGTTTATTTGTTTGGGTCCCAAGGATAGAGTCCTGAGTGTAGGGAAATGAGAAGTTGTATCCTGTAGCAAAAATTACCACATCAATATTTTCTTCTGTGCTGCCATCTTCAAATATCACACCTTTTTCGGTGAACTTCTTCACATTTGGTTTCATTAGCACCCTGCCAGTAATTATAGCATTTGGTAGATCATCGCCCATAATTGGGCTCTTACTTAGGAACCTGCAAAATGAAGAAAAAAAACCACACTGGCCATATTTTACTCCAGAACATATGCTTATTAACCTTAAATGACCATTTGAAAAAAGGGGGGTTAAGTAAGCTACAGTAAATGATCATCTTAGATGTTTTTCAAACAGGCCAAGAAAGCACAGCCTTGGTAAAGAAAAGCTCATTTATGTCAGAGATGTAATTCAGTGTACGTTGATGTATTCTCTTTACCCATGTATTTATACCAAATATACAGTATATTATTTACTGGCTTTGTATTTTTATTACAGTTTTGTCTAATTGTTTTCTGTTTTTACATTCTTGTTGACTTCTTTTTTGTATCCAATGCCACATTTTGGGAATATATTTTACTGCAAAGTAATGAAACAGCAGGTACAAAAATGGCAGAAAATGGAGCTTCAGTCTAGAGACCCTGGAAGTGCCTTTTTCTCAGGGAATCTTTGGATAACATCACCTTTATCTTCATCACCACCATAGCTAGACTCAGAAGAGCTAAAATTGGCAGAGTAATTTCTATGCAGGCTTTCAGCTTTTTTGTAAAAGGTATAACGGTAAAAAAATATGCATGAAGAAAAGTCACAAGATACAGAATTAGGTAAAGAAACCAGAATGTCAGCTGAGACTACTATTATTTCTCCACATTTAAGTTGCTCCTAAAATGGGATTAATATTTATTTTAATGTGTATATTCCATGTCTTCCTAAGTGTCAGAGTATGGAGAAATTCCACCGTTACCTGTGCTGTGGCTTTACACCATAGTTCTCATGGTTAAATTTCATATTCAGCTTCCTCTCTCCCCATTGGTTTATCAGTGCCACAGGAAGTTTATGGAAAAGGAGATTTTTGAAATGTGTAAAATAAACTACATCCAAAGGATACCCATCATTAGAGACTCGATTGACCACCCAAGCACCAGTTCTAGTGCTCAGAAAGACCTGGGGAGGAGAAAGAGAAATCAGCACTAACTGCTTCCCCAGTCAGTCTTGTAATACAAAACATAAATCTAGCAAACAAAATGGAGACTGAATCCCTTTCCCGCCATCTTTCGGATATAACCAAGGTCATACCCAGTTCTTCTCTTTGCCTAATCCCATCAGAACCAAAATGACCTCCCTACTTCAGACCAAGGTCCCTGCAATCCCATCTAGACCAAAGAATAGCAGCCTCATCCTCAGCTCACAGTATGGCTCAAGGGCAACCCTCTCAAGGAACATGTAACCTAGAGAAACTCCAACTTTCCATTTCCTTCACAATGAACTTTCTCAGCTCTGCTGACCTTCTGAAAGGCCCATTTTGCCTAACAATAGAAGTAATCCTAAGTATCAACAAGGATTTGCTTAGGTACCCAAACTAGCCAGCAAATCAGATCCCTGGGATTTCCTATCTTGCAGCCCTCAACCTCTATAAAAAAAACCTTTCTTTTCCATTGTTCAGGGTTCCTCTTTCTTTTAAAGTAGGTACCCAATGATCATTGTAATGAGCATGGTTCTTCTCTTCAGCATTGTGCTCCTTACTTTGGCAAAAATGAAAACAAAACCCCACAACAGCCCATTCCTCCTTCCATTGAGTCCCAAGGGACAACAGTGAGTGCTAATATATTTTTCCCAAGAGTGGAAATGTGGGGATGTTCAGGAAAAAAAAAGACAGAGAAGAATCTTGTTCTCAACCTTTGATGTTCCTCCTCTCCCTGGTTTCTAGGCCAGTAGGACTATCTTTCAGTAAGGAAAGCATATTTGATAAAAAGTATTGCAAAGCCCTCCAGCCTTACTGAGAAAAGTTCAACTTTCATTCACAGATATTACTAACAATTTAATTATTCAATGAATAATTTAATGAAGCATTCACATGTAATTACTAATTGATAGAATTAGTCTTTGAAATGCTATCCCCCACAAAGCAACAAATGAACCCTGGTAGTATTTGAGCTCAAAACCTGACAAAATTACCTGCTGTTATCATCAGATTAAAAAAAAAACTTGTTTAAATACACCATACCTGCTTTGTGTTATGGCTGAGGTCAATAGCAATTTCTATTCCAGAATTTCCCACACCTATAATGAGGATTCGTTGGTCCTGGTATTTTTCAGGATTCTTATATGCCGAACTGTGAATAATTTTCCCCTTAAACTTCTCAACACCTAAAAAATAAATAAATAAATAAATAAATAAATAAATAAATAAATAAATAAGGACCCATCTTTGCTAAGCAAAGCATACCTTTGTTGGAAGACTGAAAAAAATAGTCAATATAGGTGCTGGATTTGAAATGAACTTTAAGAAGAATTGTCATGGTTAGATTATTAGGTTATTAGGTTATTATTAATGTCACATTGTTGCCTGAAATGTCCCATTCTCAATACTTCCTCATACAATTGTCAGAAATGACCCACAGATATTGGACAGAATGACAATGATTCCTGTAGCTTTTAAATAATAACCAGGGATTAGTTTCAAGGTTGGGATGAGAAATACACTAGAGCCCAACCATTTTTGCATTCTTTTTTTTAAATATGTTTTTATTGAGTTTCCTTTGTTACATCATAAAACATCATAGCTTCAACAGCATTCTTAACATCTATACAGGTTCTTAACTTAAATATCTTAACACATTATATTCCATTTATCTAATATTGGATAATAACTTTAACTATAATTATTATTCTTATATTCTTGTATAACTTATAAATTTACATTTTACTCTCTTAAGGATTCTTACAGTTAGATTTCTTGTCTTATTTCTTAGTTCTGTTTGTTAACCATTCATACAATTTATTTCAAATTGAGAAAAATTCAGAGTCATCTCTTTCTTTCAGTTTCAACGTTAACATATTCATTTCAGCACTTTCTGTTACTTTATGTATTGTTAATTCTTCACAAGGAACATTGGGAGTTTTCCATACCTGTGCAAAGGCTATTCACCTGTAAAGTCATGGAATCAATTATTAACCAATCCATTATCCTCCACTTAGAGACAAACAACCTACTCTCTAATAAACAATTTGGTTTCAGAAAAAAAACTATCCTGTAATCTGCAACTCTTACACTGCAAAAACATATGGACTACACAACTCGATCAGGGCAAAGCAATAGACGCAATCGACATAGACTTCTGTAAAGCCTTTGATTCAGTGGTACACTACAAACTACTACTAAAACTAAAATCTTATGGTATCTCTGGACACCTACATAACTGGATAGAAGCATTCCTGTCAAACAGACAACAAATCGTCAAAACTGGGAGCGTCCTATCAAATTCTATACCTGTCAACAGTGGTGTCCCCCAAGGCAGTGTTCTAGGACCAACTTTCTTCATACTCTACATAAATGACCTCTGTGATCATATTAAGAGCAACTGTGTTCTCTTCACTGATGATGTAAAGCTATTCAACACCACAGAAAATACTACTACCCTCCAAAAAGACCTCGACTATGTATCAGAATGGTCAATCAAATGGCAACTTCAAATCTCAACAAATAAATGCTCTTGTCTTACATATTGGCAAAAAAAAATCAGAAAATAAAATACAAGCTGAATAGTCAAGACCTTGTTGATGATCTAAACTCTGTCAAGGATCTTGGAGTACTCATCTCTAATGATCTAAGTGCTAGAGCCCACTGTAACTACATAGCCAAAAAGGTGTTAAGAATTGTTAACCTAATCTTACGTAGCTTATTCTCTGGTAATATCACACTACTAACTAGAGCATACAAAACATTTGCTAGACCTATACTTGAATCAGTCTGGAACCCACATCATGTATCTGATATTTACACAGTTGAGAAAGTCCAGAAATATTTCACAAGAAGAGTTCTCCACTCCTCTACTCGTTGTAGAATACCTTATGCCACCAGACTTGTAATTCTAGACCTAGAAAGCATAGAACTATGCCGTCTTCAGTCTGATTTAAGTATAGTATATAAAATCATACATTGCAATGTCCTATCGGTCAATGAATACTTCAGCTTCAACCATAACAACACAAGAGCACACAATAGATACAAACTCAAGGTAAATCGCACCAAACTTGATTGCAAGAAATACGACTTCAGCAACAGAGTGGTCAATGTCTGGAATACTCTACCTGACTCTGTGGTTTCTTCCCCAAACCCCAAAAACTTTAATCTTAGACTGTCTACTATTGACCTCACCCCTTTCCTAAGAGTTCTGTAGGGGGCATGCATAAGCGCACCAATGTGCCTACCATCCCTGTCCTATTGTTTCTTTTATTTTTCTTATACGTATCCATCTCATGTATTCATAGCTATGTTTATACTTATACCTGTTATCTTGTAAGCGATTGACAAATCAAATTAATAAATAAAATATTTTGGCGGCTGATGTAATATGCAGCAATAAGTATTTTACTTCTTTTGCTTTTTGATCTTTGATGATTCCTAGGAGAAAAGTTTCCGGTCTGAGCTCAATCTGGTAACCAGTAATCACTTGTAGCCAGTTTTTGATTTGAGTCCAGAATGTCCTGGTCTTGGGGCATAACCATCACATGTGGTAAAATGTACCGTCAACTTTTTTACATTTCCAACATTTTGGGCTTGTGTTGGAGTAAATTTTTGCTAATCTCGTTGGGGCTAAATACCATCTGTAAAACATTTTGTATATATTTTCTTTGTATGCTAAGGATATAGTTAGCTTATAATTTACGTTCCATATTTTCTCCCATTCCACAGT